GTATACGTGACAGATACACGGGGAAAATGAGTACTTGCTGAGGTGGCTTAGCATTCAGAGTTAAGTATCTTAATAGGGAAAGGAGAGGGGATGTAGGCCTTTCAGGGGAAAGTAATCTTTAAGAAAGAAGAATGGGCCCTTAGAAGAATAGATGGGAGGTATGATAGTTTGTGACTAAGTTTGCCTGGGTGTGAAGTAGACTTCAGTTTCCACTTCTATGATAAGAGTCAGTCTTCCCTGGTTGATGAAACTCCTGGGGAGGGGATTTGTAACAAGTGGGAGGCTCTGTCTTTTAGGCAGTTAAGGGGAATTCAGAGAAAGCCTCTCCCTGCATTGGCTGTTTTTTAAGTACTTACAGCTCAAAATAATCAATATACCAAAGTGGCATATTTTGGGGTGGCAAATTCTGCTGCACTTCAGTATCATACTTTATTTAACCATTCCTTTAAAAATGAACTTGAAAATATTCCCAGTCTAAGGCAGTTCTTTTAAATGATTAAAAAAATAGCCTTGCCTATACATTATTCTCAGATATGCCAGTACATTCACATAACTTCTTGAGTGTATAATTGTTAGAGCATATGTATTTTTAATATTGAAAGGTATTTGTGAATTATTTTATTGTTTTATTGTGCCAGATATGGATATAGCAGGGGAGGGCAGGAAAAGTGCTCAGAAGCCTGAAACTGGAGTTTGAGAAGTCTCAAAGTGTTCTGACAGTACAGTGTATTCTATTTCCCTGATACAGCTGGGGATCAGAGTTGCCCTGCTCAGCAATCACTGAGGCACCTTTTTTCACATTTCTGCTTTGAGATTAGTGACAGGTATTTGGGTTTTACAGGAGCTGATGACCATTTTCCAACTTCTGCACTGGAATGGAAGCCTAAAAGCCCTTCGTGAAACAAAGTGTTCCCGACAGGTGAGATTTTCCAGTCAAGCACAAGTTTGTGTTGTAAGCACCGAGAAGATGGCTCATCATATTCCAAGGAGGTTCTCTTGTTTGGATTTTTCTGTGTTTAAACTTAGTAATTTATTTATTAAGAGCAGAGGACATACATATGACCATATATGCTGCATCAGAGACTAACCAGATATGCACACTAAGAAGAATTTTGGCTGGGCACAGGACTGATTTAGATAACTGTACTGAATGCCAGAACGGCGGGATCGTTAAGAGAGACTTAGTTTCTAAGTCGAATACTGAGTCTACTCTATGCACCTGTCCTGCCTGCTTGGAGTGTATACCTCCTCCACTCTCCAAAGCAGAAAGAAACTGGAGTCTGCACTGCTTCTGAACCTCCTCACTGAGCTCAGGTAGAGTTGGTTGTGGATGGGAGGATTTTTCCTACCCTCACCAAGTGGCCCCAGTGGACACCAGAAACGATTATAAAGGTGGGCAACCAGGCATTTCAGTCTCCCAGTTTTTCACTTTGAAAGTTTCTTCTTTGTTTTTCAGAGGCAGCATCTCACTGTTTCTTTGCTGCCTATGAGAAGCACTCATCCCCTCTTTTTAATGGCAAAGGCAAACCCTTTCCTGTGCACTTAATGGTTCTCACCTATTTTCTCCCTACATTTATTCTTCCTTTACCCACCATTAGACTTTGTAGATGGTAGTTTGTTTCTGAGAATTTTCCAACAGGAATTTGTCTGGGAAACAAAGCCTTTACTAGTCAGCAAGATGAGCGTGGATATAAGAGTTTTCCAAGCATTGCAGCCCCTGGAGTTTTAAGTTGTTCTTTGCTTAGAAAGCCTGGCTTTAAAAATGTCTAAGATGGAAAAGAAATGAGTAGCTGACAATGGCTTTGGCTTTTTTTTTCTTTTCTTTGATTTTATAAAAGTCCTTTGAAATACGCTGGGTTGGTTATAAACACTTTTCCATGATTGTTTTTAATTTGTTAAGGTCATAAATAAATACCGTATGTTTTTGAAAATAAAAATAAGCAATGCATCCACTCCACAAGATCTTCTTAAAGTGCATCCATCAAACTTATACATAAGGTTACAATGCTATTGGCAAATTTTAAACATGAGAATTGACAGGTAATGACTAATTTTTGATTTTTGCAGGAAGTAAGAAACAATGTACATTAAGTACATATCAGTAATCTGTACGTATCTATAATAAGGATGCCTATGTTCCATAATACATTTTTAAAGTTCTTTCTGTAGTTCCCATATGCTATTCAGACTGTCATCTTCCTTATGCTAACAACACAGCGGTTAGGAATTTGACTCTCCTGGTGTCTAAGTCTTGTCCTGACTCAAGGTTTCCTGCTTTCTGCAATGGGTATGACCAAACCCAGTTCTGCCTGAATCCTTCCCTATAGCTGTTTCCCTCTGTCTATCTTGCCAAAGGAGATAACGCTGAGCAGAAGAGTTCAATGAATAAATGAGGTAATGTTCATACATGTTGTCAGAATGCATTTCAAAGCAAACAAGATCAGGATTCTATTCCGTGAACGTTACTGAGTCATTCCTGGTGGTAGTGTTTTGATTCAACCTGGATTTGGCTTCGGGTTATGAACATCAGGGAGGCTTAGTTGTTGGTAGAACACCCATGGATGTGGGGCGGGGGTGGCGGCGCAGGAAGTGAGATGTCAGAAGGCCATGAGCGCAGGTGCCTTTGTTTCTCTTTACTGACGCTCTGGACTTTGTTTCTTGGCTCCCAGGAAGTCATCTCCTACTATTCCCAGTATTCCCTAGATGAAAAGATGCGCAGCCACATGGCCCTGGACTGGATCATGAAGGAGCGGGAGTCGCCAGGAATTCTCTCCCAAGAGCTGCGAATGGCCCTGAGGGAGTTGGAGGAAGCCAGGAAAGCAGGACAAGAACTACGGTTTTACAAAGAAAAGAAAGAAATCCTGAGTTTAGCCCTTACTCAGATCTACAGTGATCCCGACACTTCCTCACCCAGTGATGATCAGCTGAGCCTCACGGCCCTTTGCGGCTATCACTAGCAAGGCCAGGTCCCAGCTGCCCCTGAGGGGAGCAGAGGCTGGACTCTAATATTAGGAAGCCCATGGAAGGAGCTCATCAGAGGCTTTAGTACCTACAGCTGCTACCCGAAGGCTGTGCTAGTTCTCCCCTCCCATTCCAGCCACAGAATCTCAGAGTAGTAGGACCTTTACAGGACCCAACAGCCCACTGCATGCAGCTTTCCCATCACACTCTCAGTAGTTACACCTCAGACTGAAAAGATAGAGACAGGATTGTCTGAAAAATATTTTCCGGGCCTGGCTCCAACCTGAGGCCTGGTTGACATGTGCCTTGCTGGATTATATGTGTTGTTTGAAAGAAGGGGCCAATGTAGCATCCCCCAAAAGAACGTTAGCCGGAAATGGAAATTAGAATGACAGCAATTTAAAAAAATATTTGGGATTAAATAACAATATGAATTGTTTTTAAAAATATCCAAAGGTCAGAGTTTCTTCCTAAGCTTTGTAAGCTCCAAGTTAGCTTACACTCTACTAGGTGTAATACAAAACTTCTGTGGGGTTTTATCTGAACATCCCACTGTCAAAGATCTTGAAGTGGTAATAGTATGAAAAGACTAGATAAATTTAATGTGGCTTAAAATGTCATTGTAATACTTTTCTTTTTAATTCACACTCTTCCATACGGGGATAAATGTCACCTAGAGTAGTACCCTCACTTGTATTCCTCAAGAAGAATAATATCTAGTTTTTATGAGTCCTGTGATGTCATGTTCATTTCTAATTTGCAGATAGATGAAATGATTTGTTTCTATTTCTGCCACCTCAGTCATATACCTATAATGGAGAAAGTTACTGGCATTTCGAAGGTTAAAACATTTTGAAAAATCATTAGCATTTAACACTGCTTACATTTACATTCGATGCATTTCTCATATATTAGAGAAAAGGAATCATTAGCTGTCTTTGTTGTTGTGCAAGAACGTAAGCCACCAGTAGCTCCAATGTAGTGTCATTTTTCAGCTTAAATTCTGCAATCTTCTTTAAAGAAGGGATAAAACATTGCCATCTCACTTTGAAGATGCTTTGAGTCAGTCAACTGATTAGAAAAGCAAAAGCAAGTGCAAACCAATTTTTAGATGGTTCCTGGTCACTCAGATTTAAGAATGGCAACAGTGTCAATTTCAAACACTTACAGGTATTTTCCTGTCCATAACATGGAAAGGAGCATCTTGAATTTACTCCATTAATTCAAATAAGAGAAAACAGTTTTCTCAATTTTAAATAAGGTTTCTTTTTCTTCCTGTTTAGGGAAATGCCCATTAACTCTCATGAAAGCTAAAACATAATTATAATAACATTAAAGTTTACAGAAGCATGATAATTCAGCTTCATAGCTAAATATCTGCAGTGGTAATTGTCACTTCTTGAATCCCCATGAAAACTACTGCATACTGAGCATGTATCTTGGAATTAGCCATTATAATAAAAAAATTAACTTTGTACATCATATTTCTCACACCAGTGGAAAATTTAGCTACATACCTGCCCTTCTCAAATGTCTTGAAAAGGTAATATTATATAATATTAGATAAATTTTATTAAAAAATATTGTTTTAACAAAAGTCATATTCCTCCCCATAATGAGGCTAAATGTCACCTAGAAGAAAACTTGATTCTCTTATATTCCAGAAGAGGAATTAGAATTAATATTTATAATTTGAATACATTTTAAAATTAAATTACTTCCTATTTAAAGTAATTTTTTTATAAAGTCATTACTCTTTATCATTTCCAAAAAGCCATGTTGGGTATGATTAAAGGTAGGTACGTCTGTACTACATTTGTAGACTTTGACAATGACCTCCTCAAGCTGACACCATCTAATTAGCTGCAGGAACAAAAATCAGCTGGAAAAATATTAAATTTACTCTTTGCCCTGCAGTGAGAAAACTGTACCCTTTCTGTACACTAAAAGCAGAAGTTCTCCCTTGGCCACCATCAGATTTTCCTGGCTGTTCAAAACTGCACAATCTGCCTGGAATGATGTGCAAGTTACAGCAAAAGAAGAAAAAGTCAGAATCTTTGCCACGGTAGGTCCCTTTGATGCTCATTTATAGCAAATCAACTTCAGCTAAGACCTAATGACTGTCAGTACATCACATAAACATCTATAATCCTGGCCCTGAAAAGAACAGCATTGAAGAGCAAAGTAGGTTATTATAATTTTTCATTTTCTATATCTTGTTCTTTATAACATACTATGTTGAAGGGGTCAAGAGTGGAGGATTCTCTCTTTAAATATATGGAGCTCTGAGTCCTAACCTTTTGTGCTTAGAAACCCTTTGATAATCTGACAAAAGCTATGAAACTTCTCTAGGAAAAGAGAACAAAGCATGTACATTCAAAATTACACAGTTTCAAAGAGTATGTGGACCTCCCCTAAACACATAGATTGCTCTGTCTAAGGACCCCCAGTTAAGAACTCTTAATTTTGAGCATATACTTTATAGTCTCTTAAACTTTTCAGCAGGAATCCAACCTAGTTCAGACATTGCCCTATTAACCTATCTCTAAGATAAATGTCATCATCCTTAAATACAGAATTGCACTATATTTTGACAAGAGATAGTTTAATTTTCACAAAATCCAGATACATTACTAGATTGTTATGAGAAAGCTGCTTAATGCAAACTAGTCACTAAACTTGTATGAACCTATCAGAATATTACAGATTTAATAAAGTCATTGTTCCTTTTATGATCAGAATTCAGTTGTCTATTTGTTCAAAAGTGATATAATCCACTGATATGTTTGCTGTTAAATTCATTCATCTATTTCTAGAAACAGAAATGAATCAAGCCATATGTAATCCTGAAATACTGTACCTACATCAACTATGAATCTGATAGGCTAGGTCTCAGGAAAAAGAGAAAGAAGACATAAAGTTTTAACACTTTCTGGTTTCTTTAGGGAAAGCATTTGAAGTCAGGAGTATTGTTGTAGTTGACTTTATCTCTGAAATGCTTTAAAGAGTTCTCAGTGACATCATGCCATGTCTTTCTTTCTTTCCAAAGGACAAAAGAAGCAAGACTAAGAATATTTTTATTATCCTTGACTATGTTTACAGGTAAACACTGTTAAAGACATTATCTCTTATATATTGTTCATATTTTTTGTTTTACCTTAGAGAAATGCAAATATCAATATTTCTTCTATGGTGTCCACCATGTTAAAGAGTGAATGTTAAGATTATTTTTAGCCAGAGCTCCATAAAGATGATTTTTCCTACCACAGTGGTTCCCAATTTTGTACATTAGAATTATCTAAGGAGCTTTAAAAAAAAGCCCTCAATGTTGAGACTGTACCCAGACTAATGAAATCAGACTCCCTGGAAATGGGGCCCAGGCATCAGTATTTTTTAAAGTTCCCCAGGTAGTTCCAATGTGCAAGAAGGTTGATAACCATTGTGCACTAACAAGGAAGTTCTGGTCCAGAGGTCTCTGATCTAAATCCCAGGAGCTATTACTCCACTTGGCCTTGGCCCCAAATTCAAAATGTTGAGGTCTTCTGAGTTAGGTAGGAGTAAAACCCTTTGCTCAGGCAAGAGGCTTTCCTGGAGCCTAGAACTAAAGCAGGGCAAGCATGTGCGTGCACGCACACACACACTCCCCTTATCTCAGCAGGAGAGCCAGATTCTGCTCCAGGGTCCAGGTTTTCTTTCTCAAATATGATATGCAAACTATCTGCACCAGAATCATCCTTTTAAGTATACAAGTTCCTGGGCCACACCCATATGTGGTGACCAAATTCCAGGAAAGGGTCTGGATTATTTACCACTTCACCAGGTGTTTCTGATCACACTCTTAAATTGAGCTCTTTCGGCCTAAAGCTACCGAGCACATTCTTTAGTAGGCAGCACAGCCCTGGCCCTTCTGATGAACCAGCCTCTCGACAGAGAGCCCAGAAAGGCATAAGGAGAGAGGGGGAGGTTGCTTCTCTACCCCTCCTGGAAGCTAGAGAGAAGCAGAAGGGGAAGAGATAATAGCAGCTTTTTCTCCCCCCAAAAAGCAGCTCCTCTCTTTTTATCACTCTGGCTCCAACATTTGGAATTACTTTTAATCCCGTTACTAGAAACCATGGAAATCCCTACTAGTGCATCTCTACGCTTATAGTCGCTCTTTTAAACCTGACCAAGCTCTAACAGCACTTTCTTCCTTGGAGCAAAGTAGGCTGTGGGAAAGGCAAGCAGAAGCTTCTTCCTGAGAACTATTGAATCTCTCGAGATTGTTGCTTCCCAAATGAAAGTCCCAGATTGCTATCTATTTATAGGCAGTTCCCAATTTTCGCAGCAGTTATGGTCTACAAGTCCATTTGTAAGTAAAGTTATTCAGTCCTGAGGATGTATTTTTCTACAGGAGCAAGGTCTAAATGATGGCAACTTTCCCAGACTAGCCTATATAAACAAGAGGGTGCCTAAAATACTGATCTATGGGACTAACGTGGCTCTAGGTTGTAAGTGGGCAGGGAGATGGAACAAAGGGCAGCTGTGGGTTTAGAGCACATTACTGAAGACCTCCCTAGGGCGAATTTCCCAGTCTCAAGCTGGTTCTCTAGACAGTTCCCTTTATTTTCTCTTTGTACCACCACAGGTTAGCTTGACAATGCCCCAGCCACTGCTGTTACATCTTATTTCTTCTGATCGTGGTTTCTTCTACTTGCTGACTTATTGAAGAAGAGATGTCTTTTTCCTGCTTTTCCCTACAAGTACTTTAAAAATTTCTAAGAGTTGGTATCACTAGAAACAGGAACATTGCATGACCTAAAAATGGCAGCCACTAAGCCTCTCTGTAGGTCCTGTAGGGAAACACACAGGCATGCAAAGCAGGACTGCACTGGGCAGGCTGATCATGGAATCTGTCCTCCTCACCCAGACCCCTAAGGTTTCCTGCTTTGGTGTTCTCACTGGCTCCATGTGGCATTGCCCTATCCTGATCACAGATACCCCATAGTTAGCCAGTGATTCTGTGCAGTCTGACTCAAAACTACAAAGTGGACTGATTGGTCTGTCCCCCTCAGGCATGTGAACTAAGAAACATGGAAGGAATTTGGCAGTTCCAGTTGGGAGCTGAAGTTGGAAGAGTCATGTCTGTGCAGGCTGAAGTGATGAGAAAGTAGGAGTCATGAGTCAGCAGAGGAAGCTGGTCCGTAGAAAGAGGAGAAGGTGGTTGGTGTAGAGAGCAGATGCACAGAGAGGCAGAAACACAAGTAGAAGGTGAAAGCATGAGGCTCATGAGGAAATGGTGAGAGCTGCTGGCCCAAGTACCCTGCAGTAACTTCACTGTCTTTATCCAAGGGGATCACACACTTTGCAGCCAAAGAAATTCCACCTTACTAATTTCAGAGAGAAATTACTCTAGACTATCCTGGACTCCATCCTAAGAACAGACCAAGAAAGCTGCCATGAGGAAAAAACCTCTTCGAGCAATAGAAATGCTGCTGAAAAAGCTAGACTTAGGACTGGTTACTGAATTAATTTCTTTCCCTACTCACTGCTCCTTCTATTCCAGTTTAAGGTCTCACACTGGTCAGAAGTCCTTCCCAAATCTGAAATAAATTTATGCATTATGTGCTAACCATCATGTTGTTGCTCCCCTACATAGAAATTCCCGTGTTGTCATATTCCACAGGAGCTATGAACACAGAGGGAAGTGGGATTCCATTTTTAAAGGATAGAATTCATAACCTCAAATTATTGTTGTCTCCTTAAGAAATGAGTCACCTTGGAAAACTAATGTGCTCTGACACTCTGACAATGCTCAAGAGTGCTGTCTTTGCCAAAGACATTTCTGTCATGAACTCCTTGGGAATGGTCTTCTGAGTTTGTGTGAGCAAAGGGAGAAAAGCAGTCTCTTTTGTCAGCAGAGAACACCTTACCTTCCTGAACTATTTTATTTCAATCTTTCGACTATTAGGCCTAATACTTAGCAGGTGTTCAATGGATATTTTTTTCTTTTTCTTTTTTTTTAAATGGAGGTACTGGGGATTGAACCCAGGGCCTTGTGCATGCTAAGCATTCACTCTGCCACTGAGCTGTACCCACCCACCTCAATGAATGTTTCTTGAGTAGAAATTTGTCATCAGTGTCTTGGTGCCTTCCTTACTCCTTGCTTGATGAGTTAATTCATTCAGACTTGGCTCTGTTCTACTGGATTAGTCAGGAATCACTCACTAATTAGTCAGGATTAGTAAGACAGAAACTCAAGTCAAAACTACCAGGGAAAGGGGGAGTTCACTGACACAACAGAGTCCTGGGATAGTTTTTGCTCCAAGTACATCTGGATCCAGGAGCACAAACCAGGACTTTATCTCTCTCATTATATGGATATATTCTATGTGCACATTGATGTGTATCATTGCCTATTTCTCAAATCTTTCTTTCATGTTTGCTCCATTTTTAAGCAGGCTCCCTCTCCTTGGAGCAGCAAGATGGTGGCCAGCAGTTTCATTCTTACATTGGAGCAGAATGGGAAATTCTCTTCCCAGCAGTTCAAATCTAAATTCCAGAACTGACTGTCACAGGGGTGTTTCAGTTGACCCAATTGCTGTTCCAGGCCCAAGTCACATGTCTGCTCCCTTGGAACTAGTGGTGAAGTCATCCCACCTAAATGACTTAGACCTAGGCAGGGAGGAGTAGTCACCTGAGGTAAAAAAGCGTTCAGTTACCAAAATGGGGAGAATATGGCCATTTACCAAGACTTTTTGAAACTATTTCTCTTTGAGAGCCTTCAGAGACAATGAACAATAGTAGAAATGAAGTCCCCCCAACCATTATTTGGGGAAAAGGATTCCAGGCAGACAAAAAACAACAGATGTTCACTATGAATACATTGTACCATTTCCAAAAATCAAATTCACCCTCAAAGGACAAATTTTGTCACCATTAAGGTTGTTCAAAAGAACATTTTCCCCTAGAGAGGAAATCCAAAAGTGTTTCCAGACCAATCACATCACTGGAATAAGCATACAGGTTCTCTGAGCACTGTCCTGAAGGGGACGGCACTCACTTATATGTAAGAGTTCTGTTGTGTGGAGAAGTCTAATCACTGGCATTACTCTGCAGTCACACTTCATATATCTTCAGTGCTGATGAACTGTTGCAATGCTAGTGAGTCAGGAAATTTCCTCTGGTCTATTTCTGGTGGGCCCTGGCTTTCATTATCAGTGGCTGCTAATGCTTTTAATAGAAAAGAAAACAGTTGATCCCAACAATTGAAAACAGTTGTGGTGAAGCCGGACCATTCAATAGCCTGGGTAGTTTGTTCATCCCTATATCCATGACTGAGTAACTTGCAAACCTTAAGCATGGCTCCACTCTGACCCATGAATTGTGTCACGGGTAGTTATAAAATGATTTTGGAAACAATCTATTCTGAGGCAGTCAATTGTGAATCTCCCAGATATTTTCATATTTCCATGCAATGATATGTTATATGATGTCTGGAAGTAAACAGTACTTAGTGCAAGCAGATTTTCATAGGAAAATTGTGAAAACACAGGTGACCCAGGGAAATACCAGATTGCCAGGAGAGCTGAATCTGGTCAATCTGGTATCAACCTGAAATTTAATAAATTAGAAATAGAAGCTAGGAGCTATTTTACTTTCAGTTAATCTTCTCTCAAAGGATCTGGGGGATTATGTTTTGTTTATTTATTTATTGCAGCCACTTGGATTTTTTTGTATGTTTATTGGTTGCAAGGCCACCAAAGCAAATAAATCCAAAACACAGTGGAGGGGAAGTCAGTTATCTCAAAAGCTGAAACAGATCCTTTTATCTTAAGTGATGTTTGTTAAAGATTGAGTTCACTAAAGTTGTGAATTAAGTTAGGACAAGTTTCTTTCACACTGCCTTTTATACAGAGTGTTCTTATTGGCAATATGTTTTGCATCCTTTTTATTTTCTTCATAGAATGCAAGAACAGTAGCTCCTTGCCCAGTTTACCAGTCATTTGTGAAAAGCCAGGGGGGCTCAGCTCTCACTCTGCTGAAAAGAGGCTTCAGTAGGCTGCGTCTTGCCACGTGGGCAACTTCATCCCAGGCATTGCAGGTGTCACATACGTTGATGGTAGGATTTACAGGGTCTAAAATGAACAGCCTAAAGCAAAACAAAACAAACTTAAAATTGTGCATCTCTAAACCTAGTTTCAACTTCAATAGGTAGAATAGGGGAATGTCTGAGTTAAAGAAGGAATTCCGTTAAGAAAGGACTCTCTGGGAACCCTGGGAGTGAGTCCACGGAGGACTAACCACACCTGTAAACACACCTGTTAGCAGTCACTTGCTTTTGCCACAACAACTCTGACTTTCTCCCATTTTCCCTTTTCACCTGAGGAGGCATGTCCTTCGTGGATTCAGCCTCCAGTGTCTTCCTCATTTGTTGTCTATATCCACATTCGATTCATTTCACTCAAATTACTCTTATTTCACACTTTAGAATTCAAGTTCTGTGAGAAGTAATGGAAGGGAATTGACTTTGGAGTAATTAAGTCCTTCCCATTTGCACTGTATCCCCATAAAGCTACTCTTTGCTTCAGACTTTTTTCCTTGATGGCAGACCTGCTTCTTGTATCCTAAGGGTGTAGAAAAGACAGTTACCTTGTGTGTTTCTGGTAAACCTTTACAAAAATGGGGAACTTGCGATGATAGTGTCTGTGCCAAACCACATCGATTTCTGCATACCGAACCAGAAGTTTGAGGACTGCCCTCATTCCCTGCACCAGGCTGAAGAACAGGGGCTTTTCCGCCCGTTCCCAGATGTAAATGGTGAGGAGCTCCACTGTGTAAGAGGAGGGAAGTCTCCGGAATCTAAAAACACAGAATGAAGGGTTGTACCTACTTTCACTGACCCAGAAAACGAAGACAGGTTTATTTAGTTACAAGAAAAATCCAAGCTCAAAAGGCTACTTATAGAAGAAGAAGTTCTATTTTCAGTTTCACAGCTTACCAAGCAATAATAATATTTCCGCCAATCAGACTGGCAAAAAAAAGAATTATAATATTCAACATTAGTGAGTTTGTGAGGAAATGCACTCTCCACTCTATTAGTGAGATGCTAAATTGATAGTCTTTTCTGGAGGCACCTCTATTAAAATTTGGCATGTTTCATCTCTTTGATCCAGCGTTTTTCCCTCCTGTGAATTCATTCTGTAGAAACATCTACAAGAACTCAAAGATATACACAAAAAGATATTTTTTATCTTATTGTTTGAAATAGCAAATACTGGAATGTTCATCAACAGAGGATTAGTTAGATAGTTTCATGGCTCATCTCTTACTGTGCTGTTCAGTTTGGCAGCCACTAGGCACGTGTGGCTATTGTTCACTTGATACATGGCTAGTCTTACTTGAGTATATACTGAATTTTGAAGAGTCATATATAAAAAGTAAAATATCTCATTAATAATTTTATATTGGTTATATGTTGAAATAACATTTTGGATATACTGGGTAAATAAATTATTAAAATTAATCTCACCTATTACTTTTTACCTTTTTAATGTGACTACTAAAATATATAATATTGCATACATGGCTTGTATTTGAACATCACACTCTTTTTTTTCTACAGCGTTGACCTATACTGTTCAGTCATTCCAAGAAGCAAGATCACAATGTACAGATATAAAGATATGATATAGATTAATTGAAAAACAAAGCAATAAACTGAAAATATATTTTTTAATTAAGCATACATAAAAAAACAAATTTAGAAAATGTGCTCTAAAGATATTGTGGGGAGTTGGGGATAGCGGGTTAAGAAGGAAATTTTTTTTTACCATTAAGTCTGTTAAATTGCTATTTATATACGCCAGGGGAAAAACTAAAGCTGAGGATTAAAAAGAAACTCCAAAGAAAACAGCCGACATGACATTCTCAGGATTTCATGGTGGTTGACATCCAAATATGTGTTTGTGCTGCCTTGGCATTCATTAGCCATAAAAATGTATCTTTTCATGATACATTGCAAAATCATGCAATTTTTCCCCCTAATAAAATGGTAACATTTTCTTAGTATGATATTAATCATTTGTTTTTACCTCAATAAGAGAAATAGAAAAAACTAAAAGTGGACAAAACCTCTTGTCCTAGTATTGAACAGCTAACTAGAGTTCAGCTGATCAGTAACTCAGTTCTTGCAGTTTTCCCTCAGGGGTTGACAACAATGGACAGAAGACTTAAACCCCATCTCTGCTTTAATTATCTGATGCTCCCAATTGCCCAAAGTAAACCATGGTTGAACATTGCTCAAGCAGGAGATACTCTTCAAATTTTATGAAACAAAATTTAGAGGGGGTAAAAGACTTAATAAGCATTGAACCATTTTACTTAACATTTTTATAGCATGTTTACGTATGTGTTTATTTAGCACTGATATGTGTTCATACTATTTTGTGTCCTATTTTAGTCATTTAAAGTTGTTTCATTTAAATCTTTCTATGTATTACTATATTTCCCAAACTTGTCTCAAATAGTATTTCATCATACTTCTATGACAAGTTTATTTGCTTTTCAGGGAAATTTTCATTCCCACTTTTCATTATATTTAGTAGCACTATTCCTAATTTACTTATTCAAATTATTTTTATAAAGGTAGTTCATTGAAGTGTTTCTGAGCTCTCTTTTAAAATCTTTATTCTGAGTATTCTTTTTTTATGACATATTTTAATATAAATAATGGCCTCAACTGTTTTTTTAAAATATAATAAGAAATATTTTTTTAATTTTACCGTTTTTTTTAAAGAGGGGAATTAACTTGATAAATGGTGTGAATATTTTAAAATTCTTAACACATAATAAATACTTAATACACATTACTAGATTACTTTCCCAAAATAGAAAACCAATTATCATATTTTGAACATATGTGGTCCAATTTCCCCACAATACCACCTCTTTTAAGCCTTAGAATTATGATTCTGCTACATTAATAGATAAATTTCTTCTTTCAGACTTACAAATGCTCTCCACTACCAAAAAAAGTGTTAGATGCCAAAACCAGGCCTATCATCTGACCAAGGATCTACTCAAGGCAAGAAGCTTTATTTCTTTGTTTTTCTTTTTTCCTATTTTCATTAATAAAATTTTCCTCAACCAATGAGAAAAAAACAGAATGGCTAGAGATGCTTAGAGGTAAGGGAAATTATACAGAAGTAATACATGTTTTTACAAAGTGACTAATGTTTTCGTCAATGTTAAAGACAAAAACACACAAAGAGTAAACATAGTGTGTGATTCAGATGAATAAATCAAGATTACTGCAGCTTCATACAAAGATGAAAACATATTCCTTGTAGAAAGTGACCATATATAAATATGTTTTAATAAATCCTCCATCTCTTCTATTTCTGCCAAATGGAGAATTCATACAAATATATCTTAGTTCCCTGTTTTTTCAAAAGTTTATTTTAAAATACTCAAACCAGTATCTGAATCTCCCTCACATCACTTCACCATACACTTGAGCCTGTTGCTACCATAGGAAAGATACGGAAACATGCTCATATCAACTTTTAGGGATCACCTCCTCTGGAGGACAGCTCTGCTCTGTTAGAACAGCAGAAGCTTGAACATTAAATGTCTCATTCAAATCATGCTGGTTGTTTCCCTTTTCCATTTCTGTGCCTTCCTTCCTTGTACCAATCCATTTGGTTATGCCACTGAATATTTTGGTTTCTGTTCTTTGGTTCCTACCAAACTCTTCCGTTTGAAATAATGTAACACAGATATTCTATACTCTTTAAAAGCCCTCATTCATTCTCTCTCTCTCTCTCTCTCTCTCTCTCTCTCTCTCTCTTTCTCTCTCTCAAGCCCCTCTCTCTCTTTCCATCTCTCTCTATATTCCCTCTGCCTACCAAGGAAAGAGGTGGGGCCTGAAAGAATAAAGAAAGGACATGAAAAGAGAAAGGCTCACATGGTGCCCATGTGCTGGTTACATACTTATTTTCCTCGGTGGTGCTGGCAAATGATGTCTTAAACCAATGCATCATTAAACGAATGAGCTCCTTCACCCTCGAGACAGACGCCTTGACAAAATCCACTTGGTATGGCAAGAGGGCCAAGGCACACAGCTGGGCTTCGTCACTGTCGTTACAGAGGTGCAGTTTGCGGTAAAGGTGAAGTTTTAAATCTGTTAACACCAAGGAACAAAGACAACTGTGAGAATTTCCTCCCCCTTCTCCTCTCTGGGTTTCTTGTGGTACAAACAAGCTGTGCTACTCTGATTAATTATAGACCCTGAGCATTTAAAAAACAAAGCAGTTTCTGTATTTAGGAGAGTTATTCCAGTTTACCCAAGTGATTAAAAGAGAAACCTTCAACATTATGATACCAGAGAAGTTCAAATTGAGCAGACCCTGGTACCAGAAAATCTCTCTCATCAGATGAGAGATTTTCTCTCTATTGGCAGAGGAAATTTATTTCTTAGAAGCAAATTTCATTACTTTAAGCAAATACCATCTAGCAATAGAAACCAAATGTCTCTATGCTCTGTGCACAATAACCTATATAATTCCCTCTGTTTATTATCTAAATTGTCATCTGTATATATATTTGCAGAAGAGATTCTACCACCTGGACAGTTGAAGGGATTGATTATATTTATAAAGATGGAGATGACTTTGAAAGATGTATTTAGGTCAAATTGAAAACAATCTGTGGCAGCTAGTGATACATTAATGAGGGAAGAAAACTAGATTAATAGCAAATAAGCAAATAAACATCTATAGCTTAATACTATAGTCTCATAAAACATCATTAACTCATATTGTGCTCATTCTAGTTGTATGACATATAAATGTTCAGTATCTTCTATCATAATCTACTTAAAGTTTCCCAGTTCAACACAATTAGGAGTTCTAATATGAATCTATTCTGTACACCCCTTATATGTACCTGTCCTTCTGCCCAATTAAATTGTCACACAAAAGCACACTCATTACTTATGGCAAATTTAGCTTCTACAATACACATTTTAAAGTTAATTTAAAGTTAACTGGCAAGTAACTTTATTTTACTTGTAAATACATTTTACAAAAAACCAAAGACAAAAAAGAAAAAGAAGCTTTATGCCTTTCTCTTGATACCTAATTTTAAGAGTATCCTTTTATACTGGTCCAGTTGTTGAGAGCCAAGTCAGACTTATAATAGTAGGTTGATTATCAACAGGTTAAAGAATAAAATCAAATCCCTATGATAAATAAAGGTGAACAAATAGAGTTGTCTATGGCAAATATTTTCATAAATGCAGTTACAACAAACATTCTAGTCCTAAATCTACAAGGCAACAGTCATTATAACTATTAAAATACACTTTCAATTTTACTGACAGGCTGTCTACCTTTCTTAGCCAACAAACTTAGTCAAAAACTTAGGTTTATGATGAGGAAAGATGGACAGAACAATAACTTAAATTTTGGTATGCAGTAGGTATATCAGGTATTTGATGACCTGTTGCTATCATCTGATGAGATGCCATGGCAGACTTAGAGACTATCTACTCAAAGCCGCCTCTGTATCAACATTTCCACCCCTTCAAGGTGCTTTACTGACAGGGAACCAAGCTGATGGTCTCTAACTTGAATTATTTTTGAAGATTATAATTGTCTGTTTCTACTCTGTGTGACTCAGCTGAGCTTGTTAAGCTTTATTTTCTCATCATCATCGTTTGTAAAACAAGAATTCTTAGCTGCCTTGCTGTGAGTCACCTACTATTCTAAGTGCTTTATATTTATTTAACACATTTACTCTTCAACAACACTTGACATGGAAACTATTATTATCCTCAGTTTACAAATGAGGAAATAGAGTAAGAGAAGTTAAGTAGGTTGCCCAAAGTCACATAGCTAGGATGTTCAGCTGCCATCTATTGCCAGTCAACTATCTGAGCCCAAATGCTTCCTAATCAGTGGCTAATTCCATACTTGTCAGACTTTAATGAGCACAAGAGTCACCTGGGGATCTTTTAAAATGCAGTTTCTCACTTAGTAGGTCTGGAGTGAAGCCCAAGAGTCTGTATCTCTAACAAGTTCCTAAGTGATGTTGATACTGCTGATCTGAGAATCATATTTGGATCAGGAATATCATCAACCATGTCCTCTCAAATCTCATGGCTCTGGGGTGCATTATGACATGTGGGCCAAGCTGTTAGTGGTCTAGCACATATGTAAGATGTGCAGGGAATATTATATTAAAATGCCTGTGAAGATTTGATGTGATCATCTGAGTCTTGCTCTGACAATTATTAGCAACATTCAGCTGCCCGTTAAAATCCCTTGAAATCCTAGGACTTGTCTGAATTGCTGGTCTCTTTTCAAACTCATTCTCCATCATCAGTGGAGAGAATTGGGGTTACATAATAATTTCCGTCCCTTTAGAATTCATTTCACACAGTTGTGCTTTGAGAACTTAGGGGACTTAGAAGCAAGAGTAAAAATACACTTTTGCTCCTCTGGGAGACATTTTAGCTGGAAAGCTACTGATATAACCTCAAATCCTCAAGACAATTACCTGAGAGTTGGCTAACAACTGTGCTTTTGAAGTTTGCACACAAGAGAAAGAAATCATTTTGTACAAGTAGAGTCTCATGGACCTATGGTGAGACCTAGGGAGATGGAAGTTCTTTCCTTAATAAATATTCATTTCACTAAGCACATGCTACATAATTTCAAATCAAACTTCATATTTTAATTATTACAACAATTATCTCATCTCAGTTTTATAGCTGAAAAAAAATGAGGCTTCAGTATTTTATATGATTTACCCAAAGTCACATAGATAATATGAAATAGATCTGGGATTTGATTTTAAGCCCAGTGTGTCCTCTCCATTATACAACTTTGATGTCAGTCTACATAGGACCTACCTGGTGAGACAGGCCTAGGTTTGCATCCTAGCTTTTACACCTACTACCTACATAACTGTGGGCAAGTTGCTTAAATTTTCTAAGGCTCAGTTTTTAAATATTCAAATTGGTGTAATATCTTTTTTCAGGTTTGTTGTACAAATCGGAGGGATTCATTTAATGAGATTAATTTTAGGACAACAAGAATTATGTATGGCACATAATAGGTGCTGGATAAATCACAGCATTTAAAAATATCGTACTAGGCCCAGCAAGATTATCAGATAAGAAGACTTCCTAAAATCTCAGGTTGGGCTAAGAGTTCACGCTCTTCTTCCCAGCATCCTGTCTTATCTCAGAGCTCCCCATACCTCTGTCTTCATACCATACAATGACCTGTTTGTGTGTCTTTTCCCCTCCAGACTATAAACCCCACCATATCTTATTCATATTTGTACTCCTAGTCCTAACACAGTTCCTAGACCATGGTAGGCATGCAGTACATGTATATTGACAAAGTACAGTGCAGCAGAAGAGAACTTTGTTTTATACAATATGAGCAGCACCTTGTCCAACAGTGCTGGTAAATAAAAGAACCAGTTCAGGGAAGTCTACATGTTCCTCTGGAGTCTCGCTGAGAGAGGGGAGGACCAACATCATGTTCAATTCATTCCCTTTATTCGATACATGTTTATTGAATAATACAGTCCTAGGTTCCAAGATAAACCTTATCCTCAAGGAGCTCCAGATGCAATGGGAAGCCAAAGCTGTGCATGATGACAAGAGGATCATGATCCAACAGTAAACCAGGGAGGGATCTATGGGAAAGTGGGGGAGGCAGGTCTAGGAAGGACTGACTAGGGAAGGAAGTTCACTGGAGTTATGCTGAGTCTTGAAGTGTAAGCAGGAACTTACAAGGCAGAGTGTAGGATGGGATAGGTTAAGATCAGCATATCAGTGGAAGCATTGTGCAAAGACATAGAGATAGAAGAGAAATATTTTAGGGTTACTGGCTCATGAATCTCTTCTCTACCAAATGTGAGCCCCCAAACAGCAAAAATCTTGAGCTCCTACCGAATTCATTGAAAGTATTTAATGGTACATGGTAGGTATTCCAGAAATGATGATTGAATGGAATATATAAATGAATAATAGATCAATGAAAATATTTGATACCTGCTGCTAAGCCAGAGCAGGGTCACTGGTCATGTATTGGTTCACAAGTTGCTATGGCATTTTCAGTTCTGTCATTTTGCCACACATAGAATATATAAATGTTTTAAAAAGTCAAGCAGCAGCTTAGATTCAACCTCCAAGTTCTCTGGAGAATACATTACATCTATATAAGTCACTTAGTCATCTGGGCCTCTGCTTGGGCTATTAAAACAAAATACAATAGACTGGGTGGCATACACAACAGAACTTTATTTTCTCACAGTTCTGGAGTCTGGAAAGTCCATGATCAAGGTGCTGGTAGATTTGGTTCCTGGTAAGAGCCCTCTTCCTGGCTTGCAGATGGACACCTTTTCATGGTACGCTCACTTGGCTGAGAGAGGACATTCTGGTGTCTCTTTTTCTTCTTACAAGGGCATTAATCCTATCACTGGGGCCTTACCTCCATGATGTCATCTAAACCTAATTTCCTCTCAAAGACCTCACCTTCTAATACCATTACATTCGTGGGTAGAGAGCTTCAAAATAGGAATTTTGAGGGGACAAAAATATCCAGTCGATAAGAGGGACTTTATATTTTTGCCTAAAATGGAGATACTCTGTCCCCCCTTTTATGAGTATGATTAGATTTTCTATTTCATAACTCAGTCTAGATACCACAACATCTTAGGAATAAAAATAGCGTCATAATGGCCACAACAATGTCATTCTATCACTCTGTCTTTATCACTTCCCACTTCTTTTAGTAGTTCCAGCTCTCTCAAATTCCCTCACCTACTCAAGTCCCGAGGGACTATCTCACATGTGCTTGCAGGCTCTTTCTTCAGTACCACATGGTCTCTGCTTTATCCTCCTCTGCTCTTTAATGGCCTCTGTGGCTGCAGCTATCAAAAGCACTGATCCAGCCAAAGCAGCAATGCCACCAATGCAGCCTGGTTCTGTATGCCTAGCTGGATACTGTGTCTAGATGTGGTCAATCCTATATAAATACACGTTGAATGAACAGCCATTTTAAAGGCTTCCTGTGAAACAAAACAAATAAATCTTACCTGTGGAGGCTGTAGGTCCCAGGACATCATAGTAGGCCATGATCTCCAAAGAGTGACTGTGAAGACTTTCAGTACACAAAAAATTGAATCTTAAAGACAATGGTGTTCTTTTCCCCATTAGGATCCTTAGAAAAGGAACATGATGTGATATGAGAGGTAATATAAGGAGAAAAAAGAAAACACCGGATTATTTTCCACCATCCTTCCACTTACTCCAGTCCTGCTTCTCTCTTGGCTATTTCTCAAACATTCCAGGAATGTTCCCTTCTCAGGACTTTGCAGTTGCTAAGGTTTTTTATTCTTAGCTTATACTTAGATAGTTCACATAGCTGGACTCTGGCTTTATTCAGCTCTCTACTGCACCATTTGGCCTTTCCTGGACACCCTTTAAAACAAGAGCTCCTTCCACGTTCCCTGCCCCCTTACCCTGCTTTGTGCTTCTTTGTAGCATTTCATTACTACTTAGAACTGTATTATTTATTTCTCTCACGTGTTAGGAGTACAAAAGCAGGAACTGTGTTCGTTTTGTTCACTGTTCTGTCCCTAGTATCTGATATATAATAAATAGATGATTAACAATTTTTAATGACTTATTTTCTGAATATGGATTAGAGCATAAGATACCGTGAATCATGAATATGATTAAGAAAATATTAAGTAAAAAGAACTCAGACATCTATTTCTGGGTATAATGAAGTAGCTAACAACCAACCAATACTCACTGAGAACTAGAAAATTTGATTAAAAACTACATGTGTAATTTAGAGGCATTGGAGAGTTGCTGTAGCTAGAAAGGTCAAGATATAGTTTTACACTCCCCCCTCCAAAAAAAAAAAGATATAGTGAGGAGTGGGGCAGCAGATTACGGACAGATGGACTGATACTCTGCTGCCTTTTTCCCTGGGGACATATGTCGACTTGAGAAATAGAGAAGAGGCTGAAAATATGGACTTTTCTTTGGGCAAAGGGAATCTTCTGGGGTTAAAAAAAACCAGCAGAACTTTGTCAAGCATATGGGGCTGAAGCAATGCTAGAGACTTGGAGGCCACAATCCTGATGAAAAAGAAAAAGTGGAGAATTGAACACAAGATATGCCCTGCTTTTCCCTCCAAACGTTTGCTGAATTCTGAAGATGCCCGAGACAGGTTTGGTTATGAAATGAAACAGAATGTCTTGGAAAGCTAAGCAGAAGTGTTGGCAGTCTCCTCAGGCTGAAGTAACATGGATTAGGTTCAGTTTCAGGGACTGAGGATACAAGGATCAGGGGAAAGTCCTTGGTGAAACTACTGGGCTATAACAATTGTTCCTTAATTTTGCTGCATATTGGAAATCACCTGGGGATCCTTAAAATGTACTGATGCTCTCACCTCCAGGCGTTTTTATTTAATGGGTACAGGGATATGACCTAGGTGATCATTTCTTATCCATTTGGTGAGGAAACCGTACATCCGCTCTGGAAAAGGATAACATCGGATTTTTAATGCACAGTGTCCTGGTTTTAATCTTTAAAAATCACTAGGAATTTCAAGAGATAGGGCTATAAGATTTAAAACTAACAGACAAAAACCAACAGTAGCAACAGACCTCATAGGTGATCCAAATATTGCCATAAGTAGATGAGGATTTTAACTGATTGATACGTTCAAAGAATAGAGAAATCAACAGTAAAAGTAGACATAAAGATGAAAAGTTTAATCAGAATTAGATTTTACATATATTAAAAAAAGAAGTTAAACATCTAGAACTAAAAAATAACAATTGAACTTAAGAGCTTTATTGATTTAACAAAAATTAGATATAGGAGGAGAATCAGTGAACTGTAAGGTCAATAGGCATCATCCAAAATATATATACAGTCATATATATACACATATTTATATATAGCCATATATATGCATATATATTCAATCTTTCATTTAAATTGAACAGAGGTTTCTGAAATTTTATGACTCCTCAATACTTCTTTTTTAATGTCAAGGCTGTGAAGTTCTAATTGACTCCATTTACCACGAAAGGAATACATTAAAATCATTATTAAATGTCCTCACCTTTTCTCATGAGTATATCCTTCTCTCTCAGTCAGGGAGAGAGTGAGAAGGAATTAAATAAATCAGTAGCCTAACACTCTGTCACAATTTAGAGGCAGATCTTGCTGTGCTCAATGTGGTAACTATGTTTAGGAGACACAGCCCTAGGTGGGTGAAGTTTACACTTGTGGATACCAGAGGGTTTAGGTGAGGTACTGAATCAATTGGGGAGTTCAGGTCGCTTCTAGAATGGGTCATGAGAATGTCAGCACTATCCTAAAGTAACTTAAATGAACCTTACTGTCCAATGAGTATCCCGAAAGATTTTTGCTATTATTATAAGTGGAAATGGGGCATGGGTCCTAGTAGTGCTTGGTCATGAGTCCTCAGGTGATTCATTTCAGTCCACAGACATGTCCTGTCTTGGCCATGTCTTACCAGAACAACTCCATGTCCTGCAATGAGACTTTAAAAGGGCTATTTATCAGAGAAGAGCCTTAAGACTATCTGACCTGATAGTATAAAGAAAAAGATTCTTGTTTTTAATACCTCTAAATTAAAGTAATTAGAAACAAGAGCTAATGGGAAGAAATCCCAATTATGACTGTCAGAGGCATGACACATATTTTACAGCACTGTCTCCTTAAAAGCTCAGCATATGCTTCCCCACTGTGGTTTTCAATGATAAACACACTGGTATGTGCAGAGGGGAGCACGGTGCCCCTGGTGTGTAAATGAGTTCTAGTACTTGGGTTTTTGGCCAAGTCTCCTGAGGTTTCATTCATAAGCAGGGCCCAGAAAATGACTGACATAGAACAGTCGCTGTTACTGGTAGGTTAAGACATGGACTAGTTCCAGGGGACAAGAAAGGCTTTTCTCACACCCATCTTTCAAAATAAAGTAACTGAATAGCTTTAAAAATAACAGCAACAAACAGTATATCACCAAAAACCAGGTATCAACTGAAACAATAAACTTCTTTACTCTCTCAGTGGGTGGGAGTCAAAACCAACTGTCAGACTCGCATATCTGCTTCTTTTCCATTTTTAATTCAATTCTCCCTTCAAATGAATCATGGTATGGTCTTGGTTGCTCTGAGAAGCAGAGAATAAAGCCAGAAAAATACTGCTGCATAAAGATATGAGTACAAAGGAAACCTCGTGGACAATCTGTCTCCTTTTCTGACTTCACAGTCCTTCTCCCTCAGTCTGTCTTGAAGTCTCATTCTTCTGCAAATATGCTTCCTTTTTGCCACAGGACTTGTTCAGCAAAATAAAATATGGGATAAAATACATTCTGGGCTGAATTAAAACCATTACAGTCCCTTGAAAAATCACTCCAAGGAAGGGAAAAGAAACAGGCATTTAAAGGATAGTGGTTACCTGGGAATTCAGGTCAACTTTAAACGTTTTTCAATTAAATTATTTAATGAGTTGAAAGAATAGAAGGAACAGAGCTTAGAAAATGAGTTTGTTTGTTTTCTAGAACAATTAGCACAAGCAAACAAAGGTTTTCAGAGCTGTTATTTTTCATTGGCTCTACTTTAAAATCTGTTCTGGAACTCTAACAAAATAAAAACTTCAAGCACTGTTTTGTCCAGGAGCAGGGTGCCTGCCTGAGATACAGAAGAGAGGAAAAGGAGCTAGGGAGAGTTCATCTATAAGGGTCTTTGTCATTGGGTGGGCAGGGAGGATAGAAATGAGACATAACAATGAAGGACAAAGATTTTGATCCCAAATAAGGCACCATGGAAAGGGTATACCCTAACTCTTATTTTTAATGTGCCTTTAGAGTACATTAACTGTCCTGTTTTGATAAACAATAATAACAATGATATAATGTACAATATAGTTTACAAATTTAATGGGGAACACTTGGAAGAAGCAATGGGTAAAAATGAAAAACACATTCTCCCATTTCTTCTTTTTTTTTCTTTTTCTTAAAGGTGGTCTTTCCCTGTACAAAGTGTAATCATATGTGAAACTCCATCATTTCCCTTTTTGCCTTTCCAACCCCGACATGCTTCATTATAGTCACCATCATGCCATTCATCTGACGTCTTTTGCTAACTACCACAATTTAGTAGGTGTTTGGTATTCCTGAAGGTAGTGTTTTTCATTAAAAGACACATTCAAGCTAGTTCTCTATGCTCATTTGAAGCAAGGGCTTGGTAATGACTCTATTATTTAAATTAATAAACAGTTCTGGGACATTCTTTTTAAAACATTGATCTTATTTTAGAATTGAATTGGCACACAGCCTAGTCTGTTTTTCTCAAGAAAAATGTTTTATTCACTTTACAATATAGTTATTTGCATTTTTCTTCATCCACAATTCATTAGACTGCAAAAAAAATAGCAGGAGATGTAAAAATAAAATAGAAAAATAAATAACAACACATCAAGGCTTTTTTCTTTCTTTTTTGCTTTTTGAAACTCACCAAAAGAAAAAAAAAGAGTCCTGACTAGTTCAACATTGGAGGCAAAAAGACATTATGTATAATGTCAGTAGAACCACTTCAGCAAAAGACCCCAGGACATCGCTGAAGGGAATGTTTATCAGACAAGTGTGTCTCAAAAGATTCTTCGTTCTTGGAGGCACCATTCTCAGCCCTTCCTGTTTGCATTCCAGAGTCAGATTTCAGCTAAGGGATGGAAATTAAATAAAGGTGCTTTGGAGAAGACATAATTAGCTCTTAAATCATAGGATCTTAAATTCATGAAATTTCATTGAAAGTTTAGCTAGAAGTCTTTAAAAAAAAAAAGCCTCTGGGGCAATCTCTCCAAGTTTTCTTCCAAGAATTTAATGTTAGCATGCACAAGTAATTATTACTCAATAATGGTCTTCCGTGCCAAGCTAAGTTTCCTTTAGCAGTCTTCTCCACCTTTGAAATAAAAGAATTTGCAGAAACACATTCAGACCTGTTCCCATGTGAAGTTTGCTTTAAGTTTTCTCTCAGAGCCTCCAACCCTTCTCTCAGCTGTTTCTTGCAAGGGTTCACATTGGCAAACAAATCACTGAGCAACACGATGTCAGTCTCAGAGCGTCCTTGGGTGTCAGTCCCCTTGACATAGGAGCCACCCTGTGAAGACAACAGATGTGGGGGAAACCTCAACTAACCACAAGGGAAGTGCAGATTTCTAGTCGTAGCCTTTTTAGGGTCAATTAACACTGTGAATAGCTTAAATATGTGCCAGTTTATCCCCCCCGACCTCACCTGACTCCAAAAAAAAAAAAAAAGACAGGAGGAGAAGGAGAAAGTAATCTATCACAGTCTACTGAGAATTTAGGTTCAGTTATGGAAAGGAAAGCACAATTTGCAGAAAAAGACTGAAAATCCTCATGAAGAGTTAGTGCTAGAAGTTCTCAGATTTTCTACTTGAAAGCCACTTGATTGTGATGAATCCATGAAGGCAGGAATTAAATTCACCATTGTACACCCAGAACCCAGCCCAAACATGGCAGCCTTCAGTGAACACCTGGGTGGACAACCTGGGACATAGGTGCTCTGAAACAAACCGTACCTGTGAGAGTTAGAACAGTGAGTGACTGGTGTTTCTGGAGGGTGTTAGCGCACTATGTTTCTAGATAGATCATAAATGATTTTAATAAATATTCTGTAATTATAATTAATGTCAATTTGTTTCAAATCTCCTGCTAAACATAATTCTATAAAAGTCAAAACTTTAAGTAGTTAACAGTACATCTTTGCCTTCTTTAGCACTCAAGGAAAACTTTAGGTTGCAAGTTCCCAAAGGAGGCTCTTTAGCAGTAAAAAAAAAAAAACAAAAAAAACCTGTTACCTATGATTTGGGAAACATCATGTCCACAAGGCAAAAGCAATCTTTCAAAAGTAGACTGCGACACATAAAGTGACAACATGATTTCACGTGAAGTTAGAAAACATTCCAAGGCTCTGAACCCTCTGCCATTTATTGTATGTTAATCTCTTACGGATTTCCAACAGCCCATTCAGTCACTGCGTGGCTCGCTGAAGTAAGCAATAATGTGTCATTTTTATTCTTCGCATTGACCTAGTTGCCCTGGAAGGAGACTGAGCTCTTCACAGAGACATAGCAGCTTGTCTAGAGGGGAGAATTAATGGATTACAGAAATATTTACTACTAAAGAAAATAGAGGAAAAAATACTGCCTACCAACAAGAGCAGGGTAGATGAAGTGGAAAGCGCTTGTATGTGTCTCCCACCTCATGGCTTCACATTCAGAACAACATTGCCAAAAGAGAGAATCACAGTGTATCAAAAGGGTTCAGATGCAGGCAAGCAAAACCATTCTAGAAAGGTATTTAATTCAGGGAATCATTGGAATAGCTAGAAGAACAGGCTCTAGACTGAACTTTTAGGAGCAACTTTCAGAATAACACTGCAGAGCCCACCTGCTAAGAGACATGTTGACCCAGCTACCATCAGAGAACTGCGAATCTGAGAGCTGTTATGGCAACTGCTGGCTCCAGGACCACACTGCCTTAGTTGACATCGAGGAATCAAGAAGCTGCCTCTGCAATTGTGCACCCCTGGAACCCCCATCCTACTGTAAATCCAGGGACTGAAAGTCAATGCCAGAACTCGGCTTTAAAGCCATCCTGTACCTGTTACAACTGGACTAGCTAAAATGGGTGCCTCATGCCCTTTTGCCTCTCCTGGGACTTAACTCAGTTCTGGATTCAGTCTTGCAGTATTGCAGCCAGATGAAAGCTGTTTTGTCATAGTGGCAACAGTGTATGGGAAATGGAGTTTTTCATGCTTGCTTAACCTGAGAGTTCTTAATATGCTAACGTGTACTGTCAATCTCCAAGAATGGGATATAGGGCATGGAGATTCTGCACCTTAATTGATTATTGATCCTTGTTTTCAGCCAGCACCTGGTGGTACTGAAATAAAACTCTGACTCTCAATTTCAATCTCTGTGATTATGCTTTATTTCTGTAGAAGAAAATATGTTGTTTCATATTCAGGCTTTTCCCATAGCTGTATTAACTAGAATGTAATCATACTCATAAATCATATTGGCTATTGTTGCATTTAAAGTTAATTTTTAAATTTTAAATTAACAGGGCTTAAAATACTTTTATAATAATTATGTGTGAATTCTTCAATGAAGGAATGGAAAAATTGTCAGAAAAAATGTCTTCAGAACTATGTCCTGTATTTTTCTTTCCTAAACACTCATTACATAGTATGTAGTGAAGGTATTAGCATTAAAAATAACAGTAATAGAAGGGAAACCACACCATCATTGTTTGGATCCTTTCCCTGTGTTCAGGCCATTTTCCTTCAAGGAAATTTTCAGAGAATGACCCTGTGCTGTGGACAACCATTTCCTGGACACAGTGAATTGTCTTTAAGTTGACCGTGAGCCCATCAGCACGGCACCTAATTACTTCCACAGGCATGTTGCTCAAGCATGAAACAGCACCTCAGGGGATAGGCTCACCTCCTTTGCCTGAAATTCCCTTAAGCATTTACAAATATCGGTTAAGTGTGAGCCAAGTCCTTGGCCCTGCCAATGTAAAGGCACTTTCACCCCCTGGGCAAAAACTGCCAACCTTAATGGGTTCCAGCTGTCGCATGGTTGAGAGGCTGCGCCGCCAGCCTGCAGCCTGCCCTGGCGCTTCAAAGGGCTCCTCGCAAGCACATCACCTCATGCAGAAGGTGAAGCTGGCCTCTAAACATGTGGCCCATCCCAGGTTGATGTGCATCACCTCCAAGAGAAAGGAATGGCTTCTTAGGGCTACATGGCCCGGCCAGAGGACAGGGGGCTCAGATTACCTGGATGACTCGCGAGGCCGGCACCGGAAAGCAACCCTGGATCAGCTGGAGCAGGGCACCGACTTCAGCCACACAAGCAGCAAGCCGGGAGCCCGAGGCAGGGTGGATTTTTTTGTCTGCAAATCTCTGTAGCTCTTGGGGACCTTTACACTCCAACATATTATGAGGTGAAAATCCTGTGGACATTTGGGCTGCATAGAAGAATGATCAACATTGGGTAGTCACTGCACAGAAATAGGTGTGTGTGTGTCTAAGGCAAGAATCTAGTTTTGTATACAAGTTATGTCTAGTTAATCGTCAGTACTGCCTTGTGATAACAGGGAGACTTACTCTCTCTGCTGATAGAGCTTCAGGCGAACCAGCAGACTTTACTCCCTCCAGACTTAGCTGGCATGTTAACCCTATGTCTCAATAAAGAAGTGGCTCAGTTTCTCTGAGATAAACTGAGATATTCATTCTTACGTCAGAAAAGTCTTTGCCCCAGTTTATGAATCATTCTAAGTTTCTGGGTGAAAAACATGTATGTTAACAAGTTTCAATAAAATGATCCCAGGGTAAAGAACTCCAAGTTAAGCCGTCTATTCTAAATGTCTTACTGTCAGCCCATAAGCCATACTCTACGTGCAGGTTGTTTGGTTTACTCCTGTGCACTGTTTTTAAAAAGACAAAACTGAGCCAACATCTAGAAATCAGGAGATAGTACATTTTTTCAAATGAGGACATTAAAGGGTTTTGTGTGTCTGTGTGTGTGTGTGTGTGTGTGTGTGTGTTTTAAGCCAGAAGAGCTGAGAAGACTGATCACACCCTACAGAGAAAGGAACTGAATAACTGAACTTAGGTTCAATGAATGGGGCATGTAAACTAAACTGAAAATAGACATGTTAACAGGAGAAAAGGCATACAAATTTTACTGATGTTATTTTTTTTATGTGCACAGAGTCCTTTACAGAAAAGAAATGTAAACTTCAAAGAAACAGATGCAAGTACTTATATACCATTGCAACAAAGGACTACAAATTGTGAAGAAGTGACTAGACAAAGGAAAGGAGATCTGGGGCTTCTAAGGCCAGTAAATGGTGGGTAAGTGACTAGGAAATATATACGGGGGACTAATAGAAGATAGAAGATATTTTATTAAGGTTTGTCTATACAGACTCACATGCTGGCTGGAAGTCCCCAGTGAAAAGGGCCACCATCCTCTTCCTGGTACAGGAAGTAGGGGTTGGGTAGAATTTACGCTCTACTTTTAGGTAGAAAGGGAGAGATCAGAGAGCTCTTCTTGTGTCTACTGTTTCTCAGTTGCCTCTGGATCAAAATAATCAATATGCCAAATTGGCACATTTTTAGGTGGCATATCCTGATCCAGTTCAACAGCACAGAAACTTCCATAACTTTTGCACTAGATAGATCACCAAAAAAAAAAAAAATCCCAGGAATCTGCAATAATAAAGTGGCCCTCACTTGGGTTTACACAACAAATTTGTATTATCGCTGAGAATTAATTTTAGAGTGGCCTCTGACCCAAGTGCCAAGAGGGCCCAAGTGCCTTGAATTCTTCAAGGAATCCTTTCTGGGAATGAATCTGCAACTGGACCTTCCTTTTCAAGGCACATATGGAGCATTCAGAGAAACTGAATATATACTCAGTTATAGATAAAATTCAGCACATCAGAGAACTGATATCACACAGATGACATTCTCTGAATACATGTAATTAAATGAGAAGTCAGTAAGAAAATAACTAAAAATATCCCATACTTAGAGAAATTTAAAAAAAACTATACTTCAAATAAATCATGGATCACAGAAGAAACCATAATGTAAATCAGAACACAGTACTAAACAGTAACAACAAATTTTATACCAACACTCAGGATATACAGTCTCTTGTTTAAATTTCATCAGTTATGCCAAATTAACAGTTTAGGGTTTGTTTTTGTTTTTTTGTTTTACACTGATTCTTTTGCTTGAAACAGTAGCCAATTAATATTTTATAATAATAAACTCTTTTTCGGGACATTTCATCAAAAAATTGATCATTTTTCAGTGACTACTTTGCATTCAGAGTCAATTATTGTTTTCTGGGAAAAATTTAAATTTATTAGAAGACTTTCAAAGAGTAGCAACCACCAGTCTGTTTAGAGGACAGACCCATAAATTTGAGAGCAAAAGGTATAGTGTATTAGTTTTGTGGTTATTTTTGACAGACAGACCACAATCTGACTCCCACCTGGATCCTGACACTCTGTCCCATTTCTGACTGGAAGCCCCTAGAAAGGTGCTTCTGAGTTGCCTCTTGGCACAATGCCTCAGTTTCCCAGCTTCCTTCTCAAATGTGGCTCTGCAGAGGGGTTGGGAGTATAGCTCAGTGGTAGAGCCTATGAATACCATGCATGAGATCCTGGATTCAGTTCCCACAACCTCCAATGAAAAAATGAAATGTGGCTCTGCAGAATTATCCTCTGCCCCTGCCACCCCAAGAATATGTAGTCTCAAGCCACATCCTAGTTCCATCCTCTTTCTTCTCTATCTGCTACTCTTGGAAACCACCTGTAACACCTCAGTGAGGGAGACCACAGTATGGTTTCTATGTTTTGTGAGCATCCACAGAAAGGAAGCACCAGACACCTCGTTTACCTCTTTTACAGGCTGTGAAGTGATGCTCTTGTATTTCGTGGTTCTCCCGGCTAAGGATTGTTCCAAAGTGCCTAGAACACATCCTACAGGTTTGTGATATTTTTGTAGCCATGTTCTTTATATTCCTTTCTTCAAGATTTTCCCGGTTTAGCTTGTGTGTCTCCATGGTTGACCTGTCATGTATGGACTGAAAAAAGTAAATACTTAACACAGGAATTATAAGAGCTATTTGAGGGATCTGCTGGTTTTCATTTGGCTTCTCCCTAAATGCTCCCATTCATGGGCACAGCGAATTCTCATTCTGTGTTCTCAAAACATAGCAAAGTCCATTAAATTTTTTTTGACACAGATGGAAAACTGCTGCAGATTAATAAAGCAATGAACCATGAGAACCACAGCGCTGAAAAAAAGATACATTTTTAAATGCGCTATGTTTTGTTTTTATAAAATTGGAAGAATGAGATCCTAGTTCTTTTTCTGACATCCACTTTTGCAGGCCTTGGGCAACTCATTCAACCTAACTGGGTCTTTGATCCCTCATTTGTAAAATGGGAAGGAGGAAGGAGGGAAATACATTAAGGTACCTCTAAGGTCACATTGAAAGTAAAAAATTCTAGGGCTGCAAGAATCCTATCCCCACATAGGCACTTTGGCATAATAATTACCATAACAGCAGCTCCCTGGGTGTAGTTTGTGTCCAGGGAATTCTGCAGGGTGTCCTTCACAGCAGCCCTGAGAGATGGGCCCCTTATAGCTGAGAAGACTGAGACACACAGCTTTAACCACAGCATCCCATCTGTGGCCTATGGCCAGGAATTCTGTGTAACTTCTAGTTTTCTGTTCATGATTCTCCACAAGATAATTAAAAAACAAAACTAACAAAAGGTATGAGTATTTTAGAAAAAGTGGAGGGTTTCCCCACTTTCCCCCACTATACCCTACTGTGATCTTGGAGCTTCTCCCTCAGGACTTCTTGGCCACATTTTTCACAGTGAACTTTTCCAAGATGCTTCTGCTGAAAGTGATACTTCAGAGCCGTGCAGCTGACAAAATCACTCCCGCAGCACTCACAGTTGTAGGACTTAAGGGCCCACATCCTTTCCCAATGCAGAATTGGATTTAGATTCTGTGGATGACAAAAACAAAAAGATAAGCCCTTGGAAGAAAATCTAGTTCCTCACAGCTAACTCAAATAAAGATAATATTATTTCTAGTGTGCTAAT